TGGACTACAGCCCACTTCTTCGGATGCATAACGAAGAAGTGGGCTGTAGTCCACGAAAGCTTATGCTCTAATAAATTTGTTAGTCTCTAAGGTGCCACAAGTACTCCTGTTCTTCTTTTTACTCCTATATAGACAGCTGCAGCTGTGCTACTGTACTGCTTTCATGCAGACACTATCTATGCCAATGGGAGGGGTACTCCCCTCAGTGTAGGTAATCCATCTCCCCCAGAGGCAGTAACTGTCTACAGTTGGGGTCAGGTCAGCTTAACTACATTGCTCAGGCTGTGGGTTTTTCACAGCCCTAAGTGACGTAACTGAGCCCACCTAATTTTTTAGTGTAGACCAGGCCTAGCTTAGAAGCTGTTATCAGAGGCAGCATGAATGCTAGAAATCATTGTCATAAAACCTCTAAGGCAAGGTGTAACATTATTGACGTGAACTGGGACAGTATAGATCATTGGTACAACCAAGGTTCTGTAGTGGTACCAAATCTTGTATAAAGGGGGTCAAATAAGGTGTCTAAGACAAGGTTATGTTTGCTGGTTATGATTATGCTACCTGTGTGCATGGATCATTTTTGTATTTAAAGTTATAAGTATTGGCTCTAGACTGTCTGTATTTCAAACTTGTGCTATGCTTTTGGGTGACACCCCAGACAAGTTGGTGTCAGCTCTGCCTAGCCTGCTTAATGGCCCATTAAGAACCATCAGCCATACAACTGACCCATTGAGAGAAGGCAGATACACCTTGTGACTCAGCAAGGTATGCAGGGACATGCCTACGAGGTATGCAGGGACATGCCTACGGACAGAACTCTGAAGTTCTTTCATGCCATGTGCTGGGCAGCTTGTCTTTGGAACAAAGGAAGAAAGACCACAAGGCAAGAGACTGTAAAAGTCTGCTGCAGCTCCTCCATCTTGTCTTCAGTCCTGCTTCTTGCCTCTGGAGGGACTTTGCTACAAACGGAAGCTCTGAACAAAGGACTGAATGACCCATCCCAGCTGGGGATGTTCCAGAGTCTTGATTTGAACCTGCAGTTTATTCCATCGCTGCTACAAGCCTGAACCAAGAACTTTGCCATTACTGTATGGAATTGATTCCATTTAACCAATTCTAACTCTCATCTCTATCTTTTTCCTTTTATGAATAAACCTTTAGATTTTAGATTCTAAAGGATTGGCAACAGCGTGATTTGTGGGTAAGATCTGATTTGTATATTGACCTGGGTCTGGGGCTTGGTCCTTTGGGATTGGGAGAACCTTTTTTCTTTTACTGGGGTATTGGTTTTCATAACCATTTGTCCCCATAACGAGTGGCACTGGTGGTGATACTGGGAAACTGGAGTGTCTGAGGGAATTGCTTGTGTGACTTGTGATTAGCCAGTGGGGTGAGACCGAAGTCGTCTTTGACTGGTTTGGTGCCTTAGAGGTGGAAAAACCCCAGCCTTGGGCTGTGACTGCCCTTTTTGAGCAATTTGTCCTGAATTGGCACTCTCAGTTGGGTCCCGCCAGAACAGCATCATTACAGGGGGTTCCTCCCAAGACCGAAATCTTCTCTGTCTGGCTGGTTTGGAACCCCAGCCTTGGGCTGTAACTGCCCTGCTTTAAGCAATTTGTCCTGAATTGGTTCTCTCAGTTGGGTCCCACCAAAGCCAGCATCGTGACAGTGGTGTTTACAGAACATCAAACAAGAAAGGAAAAAAAAAGTAGAATGTAATTTTAAATTGCTCAGACTTTCTCACATGAAAGTCATACAGTTTTGCTAATCATTGTCCTGTACCTAGCTGGGTACTTTGGGAAGTGCTTGGTTCTGATTGTCCTGACATTTTATTCACTGCTTGGTAAATGTTTTATTTTCCCTCAAAAGTCCTTTTTTTTTTTTTATGGGTAAGTAAAAATCTAACCCCTTTGTGCCACTTTTTCACAGGAAAAAAGTGAGACAGCGCATAGATCTTCCTAGCTGATTCCCTTACTGTCATTTATAAGTCTTTACATCACTTTGGCAACATAGAGGCCTTAAAACTTTTACAGGTTTTTATGCTCCTGGGGGAATTGACTGAGAATGGGAACAGTTAACTAACAATAGAATAATTAACAATGTTACTATGCAGACAGGTTGCTACATTTCTGCATCAGAGAATGAGATCAATTAACCATCAACAGCAACATTAACAAAATGTGTTTTTTTTTTGTTATTTTTACAAAAGCTATTTTCTTTAACTTAAAAACAAACAATTTTCAGTAACATGATACCAGTATTTAATTAAGTGTTTTTTCAATTCTCAAGAAGTTACAGGCAGGCAGGCTGCTACACTTCTGCCTCGGGGACAGAGCCTTCCTCCTGCATAATAAAAAGACCTACCCTCCTCCCTGCCCCTCCAGCCGCAGTATCAAGAGAGAGGGATAGAGGCTATGTCTACACTGCCACTTTCAGCATTAAAACTTTAGTTGTTCCAGGGTGTGAAAAAACATCCCCCTGAGCGACAAAAATTTGAGCATTAAAAACCGCCAGTATAGCGCGCTCCCGGCGATAAAGCTACCACCGCTTGTTTGGGATGGGGTTTTTTTATCGCCGGGAGAGCTCTCCCCCGGCTGCCAGGGCCGTGCTGTAACGTGGGCTGTGAAGACATACCCAGAGTCTTTCTCGCTTGTTGGTCAGCCCTGCCCCCTGACGGTGATCAATGTCTCCCCCACGGCACACATGCTGAGCCCTCCTCCCCCGGCAGTGATTTGTGTCTCTGAAGCTGCTCCAGGCATGCTGGAACAGACACGCTGCCTGGGCTGCCAGGGAAGAGATGCATGTCCCCCCGAGATTTCTTTTTGCGTTTTTCTGTGTTGGGGGGGGGACCAGAAATATGCGGGCCATATGAATTCTGCGCCTTCGCATGGGCACAGAATTGTGTCAGGAGTAAAATAGGCATACAAACAGCCAGACGGAGACTGTTACTTCATATGCTACCCTTTGGTGAACTCTTATGCAGATATCCAACCCAGTGGATCCCTGTAAAGCCCCATGCACCCCTCTGTGCCCTCTGCCAATTGGCACCAAGGGATCTCTGGGTCACACAACTCATTAACAACACTACTTGACAATGTAATTCAACTTATTGGACTAGACGGGAGTAGTCCGGGGCTCACTATAATGGCAGGTTATACCAACTGGGGCAAAACCCAACAGAAATTCAGAACCTGGCATTCTGCAAATGAGTCCTGTTTGTATGTAGGAACTTGCCCAGCAATGCCTGCAAAACAGAACTAGGGCAGTTTTCTCTGTTAATTATTGTACAACAAAAAGCCCACGCACTTTCTAGAATCATCTCACCTAAAGCAACACACTCTGTCTGTTATAAAGCACTAGAAGATCAAACACATACGCTAGATAAAAAGGCACTCCATTCCGAGGTAGCTTCACTCCCAGCCCTCAGTAACATGGATTGCAAGAGCCAGACAAACTAGTTTACTCAGAACCAGATAATGTGTCCGTACAAGGAGAGATTAAAAAGACTGGGACTGTTCAGTGTGCAGTTCTCATTACTCTAGGGTTACCATATTTCAACAATCAAAAAAGAGGACACGGGGTGCCGCCCTAGCCCTGCCCCCTCCCACTTCCCACCCCCCTCAGAATCCCCCTACCTGTCCCCTGACTGCTCTCTCCTGAGACACCCCCCCATCCTAACTGCCCCCAGGACCCCACCCCCTATCTAAGTCTCCCTGATCCCTGTCCCGTGACTGCTCCAACTGCTCTCTATACCCCCTTCTCCCGAAAGCCCCCCCCCGAACCCCCGACCAATCTAACCCCCCGTTCCCTGTCCCTTGCCTGCCCCCCACCAGGCCGAGGGAGAGCTGCGAGCTCCACATGCAGCCAAACACTGTGCCGTGCTGCTCTGCGGGGGAGGAGGGAGTGGGGGAGGGGGAGGGACTGTGGCTGCTAGAGGCCCCAGTGGCTGCGAGCGGCTTTCAATCAGGCCCAGCTGTCCAATCAGCCGCGCCGCACTCTGCATGAGGGGAAGGGGGAACTCCTGGACATTTCTACTTTATTAGAAATCCCCCCCGGACGGCCATTTAAAGCTGAAAAAGCCGGATATGTCCGGGGAAACCCAGACGGATGGTAACCTTACATTACTCCAACTCAAAAAAGATATATTGGCATTGGAGAAAGTACAGAGAAGGGCAACAAAAATGAGAAGGGGTCTGGAATAGCGTCCATACAAGGAAAGGTTGAAAACACTGGGACTGTTCAATATGTAAAAAAAGAGACGACTAAGGGGGGATATGATGATAGAGGTCTACAATATGGAGAAAGTGACTAGGGAAGTGTTATTTACTCCTTCCCATAACATAAGAACCAGGAAAAAGCAACAGAGGGTCCTGTGGCACCTTTAAGACTAACAGAACTATTGGGGGCATAAGCTTTCGTGGGTAAGAACCTCACTTCTTCAGACGCAAGGCCTAAGGAAGTATTTCTTCAGCCAATCAACAGTGAACCTGTGGAACTCATTGCCAGGGGATGTTGTGAAGGCCAAAAGTATAAGTGGGTTCAAAAAAGAACTAGACAAGTTCCTGGAGGACAGGTCCATCAATGGCTGCTAGCCACGATGGTCAGGGAGGCAGCCCCCTGCTCTGGCGGCCAGAAGCTGGGACTGGATGACAGAGGATGGATCACTCAATAAATCGCCCCGTCCTGATCATTCGCTCTGACGCACCTGGCAGCGGCCACTGCCAGACGCCGGGCTCTGGGCTGGGTGGGCCGAGGGTCTGACCCACTGCCTGTCGTAAGGCTGTGTGACGGCCGTGCCCCTGCTGCAGTGCTGCCAAGCTCTGGGGGCAATGCTGGGAAACCAAACCACGAACCAGTGAGGAGGGAAAGAACCAACTCCTGGCAAACGGCTCCTCTCTGCCCGGAGGCAAGATGGCGGCCCAGGCCTCACCCGGGGTCACATGGGAAAGGGCCAACACGTGATCCCAAAGTGAGGCCGCCGCCGCCATGTTGAATGAGGGCAGAGGGCAGTGAGGCCGCCGCCGCCAGCTTGAGTGTGGGCAGCGGACCCGCTGATCGCGGCGGGTGAGTCGGTTCGGGCCGCGGGGAGGGAGCGGAGACACCGCCCTCGCGCTGCCAAGCGGGCCGGGAGTGGGCGGAGCTACGGCCTGCGGGAGCCACTGGGTCCGGTGAGTAACCTGCCCCGCCCCCC